CCCTATTTCTTGTTTTCTCTTTTCGGGCCTCCCTCGGCGTTAAGCTCCTCAGCCTCACCTCCTGGCTCGCCCGTGTGATCCGGGTAGAACTTGGTGGGAATAGGCGTTCCGCCAGGTATCGAGGCCCTAAACCGTTTAGGGCTTTATACGTAAGTGTTACCACTTTGAAGTCGATGCGGAACCTGATGGGCAGCCAATGCAATGCGGCCAGAGTGGGTGAAATATGTTGGAATTTTTTCACTCCACTGAGTAATCTGGCCGCCGCATTCTGCACCACGTGTAATTTCCGCAGCAACCTCAAAGGAAGCCCCACGTCGAGCGCATTACAGTGGTCTAATCTTGAGATTACGAGCGCATGTACTAAGATGGTGAGCGCCCCCACATCCAGGTAGGGCCGCAGCTGGGCTATCCGCCTGAGGTGAAAAAAGGCGGTGCAGACCACCGACGCCACCTGTGACTCCATGGAGAGCACCGGGTCCAGATGGATCCCCAAGCTGCGTACACCATCCTTTGCAGGGAGAGTCACCCCCCCAAAAGAGAGGGAGTTTCCCAAATCCCCAACTGTGGGAGGGCCCACCCTCAGTACTTCCGTCTTGTCCGGGTTCAGCCTAAGCCCGTTCTCCTGCATCCACTCCAGTACAGTCCCCAGGCAGCGCTGAAGACACAGGACGGCTTCTCCTGCAGTTGGCAAAAAGGAGATGTAGAGCTGCGTGTCGTCCGCATACTGGTGACACGAAGCACCACACCCCCTGATGACCCCACCCAGCGGCCTCATATAGATGTTAAATAGCATTGGGGAGATAATCGACCCCTGTGGAACCCCACAATTGAGGCTCCACGGGGCTGAGACTCTCTCCCCAAGCTGAACTCTCTGGGGGCGGTCCTCCAAGAAGGAACGGAGCCAGGACAATGCCAGGCCACCTATTCCCAACTCGGAGAGCCTCCCCAGGAGGATACCGTGGTCAATGGTATCTATATATCTATATCTATGTGTGTGTGTACATACACACACGTACAGTGTCACATAACTGAATAAAGTAGAATATCTCTTGCCAGTTGCGGTGGAACAATTTAAATAGTTCTCTCTGACTCCTTTTATTTCCCATTAAATTTTTATGCAAAATGGTTCTTATACTGTCACTTGACAGTGAATCAAAACTGAGTATCTCTTAATTTAGTGACAGGATGCCAAAATAACATCACACTAAGAATGAATATATCATGTAAATGTAATACATGTATGCAGCCTAGCAAAAAACATTAAAACTGACACTCTCATAAGTAAAATAGACAGCAGGATCTGGATGTAAGTTCAATTCTGTTAAGTTCAAAGTGACTTATTTCCAAAAAAATGAACATGGGGCTTGCCTCCTCAGTTTCAGGATGCCAACTAAAGCTCAGAACCAGAACAGTTATAGGAAGAAGAAAAACAGCTTGAGCTACAAAGTAAAAGCTATGCTCAAGTGAGGAAAATGCTTCAGATATAATGCTGACCAAGTCTAAACTGTGACCAATAGGGGAAGGAAATATAGATCACACAGCAAAACATCTACAGTGTGCAGCATCAGTGATGAAGAGAAATTCTAGGGATAATTAAGGACAGAGATTGGGTTGGACCCAACTTATGTTTAGGGCAGAAGGACTTGAAAGAGACATTATCAATTACCTACATAATAAAACCACTACTATCACAAATATATGATGTAGTCACATTTGAAATACAATTGGACAGTGCTGGTCAGCCATCTCAATAAACATCAAGAGGACTAGAAAAGCAACAGAAAGCGGAACCAAGGTTACCCATGTTATTTTGTAGCAGAGAAGTCAAAATGTCTTGCATGTGTAGACAAATCAATATTATTACGGCATAGTTTTTTGTGGATATTGACCTTATGTTCACTTACATGAAGTGTATGTAGTTGCTGGTACATATACGAAGAACTGTGCACAGGTCTCTTGATCTGATCTGGAGATCTATTTGGGATTTTGGAGTATATCTTGATCTGGTCTAGAACAATTGTTTCCAATTTGATTTGTGCTCCAGATCTAAATTGATTTCATTCAATAAAGGGACCCAAATATCTGTCTGAAATATGAAGCCCTCTCATTGATCTGCACTGGAAAACCAAACTGATTATAACCTCTGTTTCTGCACTGACATACATGAAATCTGGACACAAAAGACCATAGAGGAATAAATTTACTAAATTGCAGACAGCTAGCTTCAAGAATCCATGTACTAGGAATCTTCAAATTTTCCTTTCTTTAAAAAATTTTTGTGCCTCATTCAATTTGATTTGTTGTCTAGACAGCAGTAATTTCCAAAACTTTTCACTTTTCCCAGGAATTGAATCTGAGCACTGTGTTCAATCTGGTCAATTTTGTTTGGAATTTGCAATTGTTTGAATCTGCTGCGCAGCCCTAGCTACCTGAGTTAGTTTTCAGTACAAAGAAATTTCTTGGTATTTTAAAGAACCACCACCGCAGAAGATACGTGCCCAGAATAATGACAGCAAAAGTCTGAAATCCCAACATGAGCATACTTTGCAGAGATAAAATTACTCACCATTGGGTCGAACTAAGAGTACAAGTTCTCCTGAGTGTCGCTCACAACTTGCTTTAATAAACATGACAACTTGATCATGGGTATGTTCTGATATATCCCTGCCATTGATCAGTACAACCTGGTCTCCTTCATTCAAACGAGGGACACAAGTATCTGCCTGAAATATGAAACAAAGGTTTCATGCAGAAGACATTATAGATGGCGTTTTGCTTCCTCTAAATTTTGAAGTAAATATGCACTGAATATCAAGGTGCTGAGCTGGTTCTGCCAAAATGTTAGTGTTACAAAACACAACACTGAAGGGATGGGGTTCCTGCCCCTGGGTTCTTCTGCCCCTATTCTCTAGAGTGTAATCACAACAAGGGTATCGGGAGCTTTTGCTTCATTTTTTTTCATTTACTACTGCTTCCTTTATCATTTGAATCTCAGCCAGTTATGACTGGTGGAAGTAAATGAACTGCCTACCATATTTCCTGAAACTTTTCTGTTTTCATTAATCAGACAATGATTATAATCAGTGATTATGCTGGAAGAAAAGCAGAAAATTCTCATCTACACCTCGTGAAGGAAGAGGCTATAGGCAAGGTTCCTGCTAAGCTGGGCATGCATGCATGTGCGCACGACTCTGCGTCCCTCCACACAGCTGCGACAGAACCCAGCACACAGGGGGAGGAGTCACATGCACACAGGGGCAGAGTCGCATGAGACAGAGGTGGAGCCCTGCCCAGCAGGGATGAAAATTAGAGGGTACGTTGGCTATTGCTCTAATAAATCATGGTCTAGCACTATATATTTAAATTGTTGTAAGCTGCCCAGAGACCTTTGGGTAGCGTGGGCGGCATATAAGTTAAATAAATAAATAAATAAATAAATAAATAAATAAAATACCAAAATGTACTATAGCCACTAATACAATTTCAGAATAAAACTATCACAAAATATTACTGGCAATGGAATCTCAGAATGATTGTTCCTTGCTGATTATTTGTTTCATTTATTTCCCAGCTTTTCATAGAATCTGCAAGGACCCAAGATAATTAAGAAAATATATATTGACAACATGATGTTCAGAAAGAAAGATGAACAGAATAATAGCAAGAAAAGCATGAAATATATAAAGAATATTTTTCAGAAGTTTATGATACCATAAAGGGTTGCCATAAGTCAGAATTGACCTAATGACACATTGTTATTATTATTATTATTTATTCTATATTATCAAAGGGCTGATGATTGTATATTAAAATCCTCTGAACACCAGTGGAATGTTTTGCAGATATATACACAAGGAAATGAACCTGAACATATAACTGTCTATCAAAACAAATATCACTAAAAACTTTATCTTATAACTTACAGGTGTTCCTGGAGCCACTCTGGACACTATAACTGGCATCTTCTGGTCATACCCACCCTTTAAAAAAAAGGGAAATAGTGAAGGAGTGTAAAGCCACTATACCTATTGTAAGATATGAAAGAATAGGTTTTATTAATACCTTAACATTGAAACCAAATCTTCCATTTTCATCTGGTCTCATTCTGATTAGAACCAGATTGTCATGGGGAATCCCGCCATTGGGCTGAAAATAGAAAAACAAATTGTAATCTAATAATATTGCCGTCTAATTCCAAATTTCTTTAGAATCTCAGATTGAAAATTTTGATCAAATTGCTCAGCAACAGAAAACTAATTGATGCACCTAATTTAACTATTGGCTGAAGTCCAGAAGTGAGTCACAACTAGAGTACAGTGGGGTCTTGACTTGAGAACTTAATCCGTATTGGAAGGCGGTTCTCAAGTCAAAAAGTCTGTAAGTCAAGTCTCCATTGACCTACAGTGCATTGAAAACCGATTAATCCCGTAACAGGCCGTTTTTGTTCCATTTTGGTTTTTTTCTGGTCTGTAAGTCAAATCTCAGTCTGCAAGTCAAACCTAAATTTTGCGGCCAGAGAAGTCTGTAACTCAAAAAGTCTGTAAGTCAAGCCATCTGTAAGTCAAGGGTCCACTGTAGGCCTACTCAATCAGCGGGGATTTGTTTAATTATCTCCTCTGTAACTTCTACTGACTGATACACTACTACTGGACTTCAGCCACAGCTTTTGACTGAAACAGTAACAGCAAATTACAAAAGGGAAAAGAGACCTGTCATTTGTGACCTAATGTGGGTGCCATTCAACACTGCACAAATGGACTTCTATTCACCTAGTGGGACTTCTCCTTTCCCTCCTCCCCTTTCTATGTATGCTATCCATTAACTTTTCTCGAGAATCCTCCAACCTTTCCAATCTGACTACTGCAAAGGAAAAGAGAATTTCCCTCCCTTAGTGGATAGATATAACCAGAGATAACCAATATATCCCAAAACAGGTCCCCCTGTTTTTTCTTTTATGTGTGTGTATAAGGGTGCACACAATCCCCTTCATGGATTGCTGCCTTGTCGTGGCGAAGGGGCTTGAGTAATTCAGAGAAGCTATGGGCTATGCCGTGCAGGGACACCCAAGACGGACAGGTCACAGTGGAGAGTTCTGACTAAACACGATCCACCTGGAGCAGGAATTGGCAAGCCACTCCAGAATCTTTGCCAAGAAAACCCCATGAACAGAAACAAACGGCTAAAAGATATGACGCTGGAAGATGAGCCCCTCAGGTCGGAAGGCGTCCAACATGCTACTGAGGAAGAGCAGAGGACAAGTACAAGTAGCAACATAGCTAATGAAGTAGTTGGGCCAAAGCCGAAAGGATGCTCAGCTGCAGACGTGCCTGGAAGAGAAAGAAAAGTCCGATGCTGCAAAGAAAAATACTGCACAGGAACCTGGAATGTAAGATCTATGAACCATGGGAAGCTGGAGGAGGTCAAACAGGAGATGGCAAGAATAAACATTGACATCCTGGGTGTCAGTGAACATAAAATGGTGAGGAATGGGCAAATTCAATTTAGACAATTATTATATCTACTATTGTGGGCAAGAATCCTGTAGAAGAAATGAAGTAGCCCTCATAGTCAACAAAAGAGTGGGAAAAGCTGTACCGGGATACAATCTCAAAAATGTGAGAAAGATTTCAATATGAATCCAAAGCAGACCTTTCAACATCACAGTCGTCCAAGTTTATGCACCAACCACCAAGGCTGAAGAGGCTAAAATTGACCAATTCTATGAAGACTTACAACACCTTCTAGAACTGATACCAAAGAAAGATGTTCTTCTCGTTACAGGGGACTGGAATGCTCAAGTAGGGAGTCAAGAGATAAAAGGAACAACAGGGAAGTCTGGCCTTGGAATTCAAAATGAAGCAGGGCAAAGGGTAATAGAGTTTTGTCAAGAGAACAAGCTGGTCATCACAAACACTCTTTTCCAACAACACAAGAGGCGACTCTACGCATGGAAATCACCAGATGGGCCATACCGAAATCAGATTGATTATGTTCTCTGGAGCCAAAGATGGTGAAGCTCTATACAGTCAGCAAAAACAAGACCTGGAGCTGATCGTGGCTCGGATCATCAGCTTCTCATAGCAAAATTCAAGTTTAAACTGAAGAGAGTAGGAAAAACCACTGGGTTACTCAGGTATAATCTAAACCAAATCCCTTACGAATACACAGTGGAAGTGAAGAACAGGTTTAAGGACTAGATTTGGTGGACAGAGTGCCTGAAGAACTTTGGATGGAGGCTCATAACATTGCACAGGAGGCAGCAACAAAAACCATCCCAAAGAAAAGGAAATGCAAGAAAGCAAAGTGGCTGT